TGAAGGGGTATTTGTGTGCATGTGTATGTGCACATGTCATGTGTGTGTGAGAGAGAGAGAGACAGAGAGAAAGGACTGCATAAGTGAAGAGAAGGTGGAGATTGTGAAATACGTATTTGGAAAACATAGGTTGTGTTTGGTGGCAGATTTTGAATGCTTCTTTGGCAACCAACTCTAATAGTTGGCAAAAAATCTTTGATTGTCAGCTACTAATGCTGTTTTTCTATAATACAATCAATATTTATATATATATATATGTATTATGCATTTTCAATGAAAAGAATACATGGAATAAAAACTATATGTTAGAATACAGATTATACTGGCGCGTGTGCATGTGTGCCCAAGATCCCGAGAGGAGAATGGAGGAGAAGGGATTGCAGCGTGACCATCCCCCCTGGGGGGTGATTTCTCGCTTTCTGTCTCTCTGTCTCTCTCTGTCTGTCTGGTGAGTGCAAGCGCCCTATAGTGAAAAACCTCTCCAAAAAAAAAAAAAAAAGAATACAGATTATATTGATAGATATGAATGTGACTTTAGGAAATCACTAAGATTTAGTTTTAGCTCATTTTTTCCTCTGTCATTTCTTTATTTTGACTTTAGGTCACTTTAAGAAGAATTCATTGAGCCGAGAACCATGACACAAATCCTCCCTCTTTCTTTCTGGGCCTCTTTCTTCTTCTTTTTTTTTTTTTTTTTTTTTTTTTTTGAGAGGTTTTCACTATAGGGTGCATGTGCTCGCCAGACAGAGAGAGACAGAGAAACAGAAAGCGAGAAATTATCCCCCAGGGGGATGGCCACGCCGCAATCCCTTCTTCTCCATTCTCCTCTCGGGATCTTGGGCACGCATGCACACGCGCCCGGCATGAGTTTTAAGTCACCGGGTCCAGGACGCAAACCGCAGTCGACTACGTGGGAGTCCAGCGACATAGCCATTACGCTAACTGCTGGTTCCCTGGACCTCTTTCTTCTTTACCTCCCATTATCCAGAGCTTCCATTACTAATATTATCGATGGTGTTAAGCTCACCAAACTTTCCATGCATATGATGATCACTGTCTTTGCCTGGGGGCGGAGTCATAGCAGAGTGGAAAGGACAGAATTTGGACTAAAAAATCTAGACTGAAATCTTCATTCTTCCACTTACTATTGCAGTCTCTGGGTAAGTCCTTCAGCTTTCGTAGACAAGAAAACGTTGATGTGTATATAAAGTATCTGGCACATAATAGAATGTCAAAATATGGTATCTACCATCACTAATAAGCTACTCTATCAGAGGAACTTCATTCTCCAGGGGAAGCCACCAATCTGTGGAATCCATCTAAAACACATGGTTTCTTTCATTCTTGTATTATCACTCACAGCGATCTGTCCCTGTTTTCTTCAAGAGATCACAATCATGACCTCTCTCTGACTTTATTATCACTAGAAATTGCATCACCTCTTTTGGAATGTGATTTCAGACACAGTATTTTACAACATTATTCAGTTCAATTGCACCAACATTTTCTTTCCTAAAAATACTTTCCAAAATATTTACACTTCTGGTTAATAAATTCTATCATTTTCTTATACATACATCAACTCTTTTCTAACCTTTACTCCTCTTTTTGTCCACCTTAGACTAGAAATTTGTCATTATAATTGAGACCTTGGGAAGCTTCTCAACTCCAAAATACTCTTTCCTCACTGTATTCCCCTTGTTAAAGTCCTATTGTCTTTAAGTTGGCATGATAGCAGCTGGATATGGCTGGACAAAAATTATCCAAATATGTGGATTTGTTCCATTTTATTTTTATCTATTTTCTATGTAAACCAGTCATTCAGTGACTGGCTTATTATTGATTTGTTTCTATCCTCTGACTGACTTGAATGGTAATATATGTATAGGGTACAAAATTTTAAAGCTACTCAGGCCAGAGGATGCAAAGAAGTCCTCTTCCTACCCTAACCCGTGCTCCGTTTCTGCCCCCAGAGAGAATCACTGTTTTTACTAGCCTTCCAGAGATAGTCTATACATACATATGACATCACTTTATGTTAGAGTCTCTCAGCCTTTCCTTTATTGACATTCTGAGTTTGGTAGTCTGTTGTGAGGGCTTGCCCGTGCATTGCAGCATGTGTAGCAGCACACTCGCATTCTACCTGGAGACATGCCAGTGGCATCTTCCCCTCTCCCATGCATGGCATCCAAAATGTACCTCCAGACATTGCCAAGTGTCCTAGGAAAGGGGAGAGGACAACATTATCCCTGGTTGGGAACCACTGCTTTACACGCATGATCACAGATGTCCAATCTGTCATTTGGCACTGCTCAGTATTTTTTCTTCAATTCCCTATGGGTTTTTTTTGTCACTCTTAAATTTAACTTGAACTTATTCTTTTCCTTTGGCAAACCAACCACATGCCCTCCTCCCACCGTGTGCCATCCCTCCCACACAAACACGCAATTTCACCTACGTCTGCATGATCTTTTCCTTCCACCTGGTCACAGCATAGGAAAAACATGATTTCTGTTTGTCCACTAGATTTACATTCCTTCTTCCCTACTTTGCCCATTTTAACAGTTTCTTCTCTTCCCTGAATCCTCAAACTATCCAAAATATGTACATATGTTCAAGTATCTCCTTTCATAAAAACCAACACAAACCAAACCAAACCAAATCATAAAACCCAAACCTTTCTTTCCCCTCCTCCCTCCAACCTTGACTCTCACCTCTCAGGTAGAGACAAACATCTAAGCAAGTGCTTCCACCCACAGAGTCTGTGTTTCCTTTGTCAGGAAAATACTCTTCTCTAGGAGTTCAAAAGTTGCTTTCTCAGATCATCCCAAACAGAACCTCCTCTATTTCTCATTCTTTTTTTTTTTTTTTTTTTTTTTTTTTTGAAGTTTTTTTCTCAGGGGACTACTGGCTCAAGAGACAGAAATCACCCCCCGGGAGAATGGCCACGCCACAATCCTTTCTCTCCCGTTCTCCTCTTGGGATCTTGGGCACGCACGCACACATGCCCAGCGTGAGTTTTAAGCCACGGGGTCCAGGACTCGAACCGTGGTCGACTACATGGGAGTCCAGCGACATAGCCATTACGCTAACTGCTGGTCCCTATTTCTCATTCCTTAAAGTTACTTCTTTTGGGGCCAGCAAGTGGCATGGTGGTTAAAGGTGCTGGACTCCCACATGGCTGATCTCGGTTTGAGTCCCAGACCTGGCAGCTTGTTTTCTCACTTTCTCTCTCATTCTATCCCTCTATGGTCAAATAAAAATAAATGAATAAATGGATAAAGATAAATAAAATGATTAAAGAAGAAATTTAAAATAAAATAAAATAAAGTTACTTCTTTCTTTCATAATAGTTATCATAACTTGTGGTCAGCAGGTGGCATAGTGGTTGCGCACCAGACTCCCACATGGTCAACCACAGTTCAAGTCCCAGACCCAGTAGTTCAAAACTCACACTGGGCATGTGTTTATGTGTGCCCAAAATCCCAAGAGGAGAATGGAGGAGAAGGGATTGTGGTGTGGCCATTCCCACTGAAGGGTGATTTCTTACTTTCTCTCTCTCTCTCTCTCTCTGTGTGTCTCCAGGAGCACATGAGCTATGCATATAGCAAAAATCTCTTTAAAATAGTTATTGTAACTTATGATTGTACTATTTTTTTGAGTACTTTAAACATATTTGGCTTTTTCACTGTAATAAAAGTTCCAGAAGCAAGACATTTGCTGTCTGGCTTACCACCCTATCCACATAAATTAACCCAGTGTCTGACATACATTAGGTGGTCAGTAAATATTTGCTGACAAAATAACCTTAATTGTAAGGCTAATACCTCTCAGCTTTGGATATGTGGGTATATTTTGGAGTAGGGAATGTGTATTAGTGTTGTCCCCTGTTACATGTGGGTGTTTATGGGTGTTTATCCAGCTTTGAGTAGATTATCCAATAAGAATTTGAGGCTAGAGATGGAAAAACAAAATAATGTATCCAAGAAGGAGGTCTTGGTCCCTGTCATTACCAGGAGTTCATCAGGGAAAGATCAAAGGGAACTGGTGAGTTATTAAAGCTGAAACTATCATTCAGAAGATAATAAATATTTGTTGAATAAATTGATGAAAGAACCTAAGTTCCATGTTGGAATATGGCACTTGTTCTCCCCAAAATTCTTGTTTATTCATCTGCTTTATATTGTCAAGTTCCTGACTAGGTGCTTCATGGAGTAAGTCAGAGAGGGCTTTGCCCTTCTTTTCGCCACTGTCTGTATTCTGGCCTCATGATGAAGTCATCCTCATCCTGGATTTTTATTTTATTTTATTTTTTTGCCCATGGATCTTTCTAGATAATGGTACCAGAGCAAAGAGGAGATAGAAAGATACAGAGCATTCTGAGAGAACTTCTAGCTAGGGGTGACACCAATGGCACTTTCCTCCCTCCAAGTCTGAGCCCTATGAGGAGCCTTTGAGATTTTGGGAAGATAGGCTTACACTTACTATGCTTACAGTACTGGTTTCAGGGAAGAGATACTAACAATTCCTTTAGTAACCTCTTTTTTTTTTTTTTTCTTTATCTTAACTAGAATATAAGGA